TTCCAGTTCAGACTCAGAGGACCAACCACCAGCGACTGATTCATCCAGTGACAAAGACATCTCAGACCCTGCACCATCCATCCAGCAGACAAACCGAAAAGGTAAAGGAAAACATCCAGTGACATTAAAAAACAAGACAGAAAATGACGAACGTATGAAACACAGTTAAGGCAATGCAAGGCAGCGATAGATGACGAACACAGGATCAAATCCATTATTGTTTCTATTGCAAAAAGGCCAATATACTGAGACACTGAACCGTTTCTAGATCATCATATACAAAGGGATCTGTCAGAAGTAATCTATTAATGAAACATCTCATTTATGCCTATGCAGTTCATCAAATGTACTTGAACCCTTTCATTTGATTAACTCATTTGATTAACTTTGTTTTCAAAGTTTTATCCTGGTTAATAAGTATTCATTTAAGCTCGTCTATTAGACAGGGGACAGTTTGATCTGTCACCTGAACGGGAACTGATTGAAGGACCAGGTTCAACTAAACTTTATACCAAGTAGAGTGATGAAAAAGAGGGTGATTAATGTCTCTGGGAATGCAGGTGATTGTTCAGAATGGTTTTAATGTATAAAGGTTTCATTTCCAGATGACGCTGAGAGTTATGTGACTCAATCCCCATGCCCTATCAAAAGATCAAAGATGAAACTAAACAAGGGGTGGCTGCTGATTTTGGTAGGAACAATTTAAATTTGGTTCTTGTACAGCACATTTTTACTTCTGTTGTGAATAGGCACTGTACAAATCAACAGGTTAATTTAAGATTGACTGGAACAAACACCTAAAAGAAAGACTTTTTTATGAGGGGGAAAATGTTTAACGTACTATAGAGTTTTCTATCAGCTTAAGATGTGTTGAATTCTATTACAAATGAACAAAATCAAATATCAGAGGTGGCCAGGGTTAACTCCCCACTGAACAGAATAGCCACCAAGAAAAGCAGGCAGGATGGCGCTAAGCCTGGGCTGAGGCTGGAGAGAAATCCTGCATATGGGCTACAAGTGTAGGTTTCCTCATGTTGAGCTACTCCTGATCAAGAGGTGATGGTGATTATGAAGCCAGAGGCTTCTTACCTGGGCTCAGGGAAGAAAAGAACTGGACAGTTCAGTGCCCAGAGTGCTAATTACAGGTAAAACGTTTTCCATTTATATGAAAGTCAAGGTCCCAGAGTCTGGAGGAAGACAAAAAATTGGAATCCACAGTGATTTTAGTCTAATGTGAAGCTTCTATTTAGTTATGACTGTGGAGCCATGTCGTTAACTGGTGTTGGTCCTCTTGGTTTTATGAAGTACATGCAGCCATCTTTAGGACATGTTGGAGAACATCATGCCTCCTCTTGCTCACAGCCTTTACAGTGGTGCTGATTTAATTTTTCAGCAGCACTTGGTAGCAGCCCTCATTGCCTAAGGTACCAAAAGCTACTTAAAAAACAATGCTTTCATTGTGCTTGTTTGTCCAGCAAATTGGCCTTTTCAGAAGCCCAATATTGTCAAGAAAATGAGACGCCAATCACAACAATGTAGATGAGCTGAAAGACTTCATCATGCCTCCATTTAAGCTAAGATCATCCAAATAAGAAAAGACTTGAGATCAATTTTGATGTAGTAAATTAATTTTTTTTCTTTGAGACAAGTGATGAAGAAAATCTAGTGTCCAAAAATGCTAATTTGTGAAATGTGCATGTCATTTGTTTGGGATATTGTATTTAGTCTGGCATATTGAAAAGATTTAAAGCTATTTTGTTTTTTAAGTCCTGTGGAAACTAAAGGAAAGATCCCATGGACTCAGCAGGAGAAAATGGCTGTTCAGCAATTTATGTCCAGCTTTGTGGCGATGTGGAAAGTGTCAGGAAAATACGAATGCATCATGTGCATTAAAAAAATCATTTCCTGCTCTTCAGCGGAGGACCTGGATAGATGTGAAATACTTTGTGCACAATGAGATCTTAAAGATAAAAGACACTTAAACATTGAGGCATTGTCCCTTAAGTGATGTTACTGTTCCATAAAGTTCTGTTTACTAAACCTTCAGATTTTACATTATTTTATGAATTAGGTATTTCACAGGTTTAAATAAAAAAGCAGTTCCATAAAGAGGCCATTATAACTTTTGCTTTTGAAGATTTTAGTTTATGGCACATTTTATTTTTTATTTTATTTTCTTTAAAGAAAATGCTTTAAAAGCTTTAGCTTTTATACAATATTTAATGTTGCAGAGATGTTTTACAATTGCTATTATCTGCTAATGTTTATTTACATTCTTTGTTTATAGAATAAACATTGTTCAAAGTAATATGGATTCTTTTGTTAAAATTATTAAAATATCAGGGTAATGAATGACCCAAAACCTCAAGCTTTCATTTTTAGAATCTTTAGTAGCACAGTATTTGTGTATTCTTCAGTGTATTAATCAGTACAACCTAAAAAAAAAAAAATTATTTTCAAATATTGAGTACATTTGCTTCTCAGTCTCTTAACGTGTGTTAAAAAAAAAAGTTGGTTCTCACTCTGGCGATATAAAAATGTTTTGCTTTTACTACTACTACTTACTACTTCTGTGAATTCTGAAGTAGTGTATTGTGTGTGGGTGACATCTAGTGGGGAAAATTCAAAACTCAATCTTTCTAAGGAGCTCAGAACTACCGGTCCTCAGTTTTTGAGTAATTTTACTCGGCCCTCGGTCTGTGGTTCTTACTAGAATGTGTGTATGTGTGTGTGTGTGTCTGCTGTCAGTGTTTCTGTCCCTGCTCCAGACGTACAGGGAGCACAGCAGAGAAGACCCTCAGCTGGAGACACACACCAGTACAGACTCATATGTGTTCTCACTGTTCTCCATGCCCTTCCTGTGTATCTACGTGAGGAAGTCTCTGAATTTTTCAGATCATGTGTGGTAAGTCTCAGTTAAGAGATATCAGACCTATTGTACTGTAAATAAATCAATTCATATTTTCATTTCATTTACAACGCGTTAAAAATTCTGTAATTCTACCAGTGTTTCAACTACAAACCTCTGTTAAGATGTTTGTAAGTGTGGAATGTCATTTTGTACCCAGTAGGTCTTTAGAAAAGTCACCTGCAGAGAAAATCAAGTAGCCATCAGTAGCCTAACAGTGGCACACAAAAAAGTAATCTCTCTTTCTCAGCAAACAAGAGCACAATGTAGCAGAATGAACAGGATTCTTTAAGACTTGTGTGTTTATTTTTAATATTAGGACCATCAACTGTGATTAAAATTGCCCCAGCCCTAGTTTCAGTAAATGTGATTAGTATACGATCTCCCTTTCATTTTTTAAGGATGATATGGATGAACCAGACCTGGGGGATGCATCAGTGGTCGTCCTTACAACCATAAGTGACGATGCCACAAGTCCAGTTCACTACCACCAGTGAGAGTCTCTGTTGTTCTACAGGGTGATGTGATTGTCAACCTTCCCAGGCTTGCTGATGCCTTCCTGGTAATGTTTGGCCTCATCTATGCACTACACCTCAGCTATCCTAAGTGTAGTGGTAAAGTTTGTCGTTTCAATTTTTTGTTTTTCTAATTTTCCAATTTCTTTGTTTGTTTTTCTTTAACAACCTTTCCCACCTTGGGTGTCCAATACTGTGGTCTGACGCGTGATTGAATCCAGGAGATGGTTATTGTGTGTCTTGTGATGGTTTATTGTACAAAATTAAACTTGATTATAGCAAAAGAAATGTCCAAGTTTGATGTAACAAATCACGGTCAATGACTGTCTCAGCTTGTATCAGCCCCAGCTGCTGTCCCGCATCACAGGCTTTTATAGGTGCAGTTTCCGCCTTCACCTATAGGTGGGAACATTGAAA